AATTGAATCTCTAGTACCAACATTTCATGATTACTCATTCTAACACCATCCTTTATTAATTTAAAGCTAAAAATCTTTCTAACTTTCCCCAAGTTTTCTGAAATATAAACCCTGTCCAGGCGTTCCAGAACACCATGACCTTCCCAGGTAAAGCCAGACTGATATGGGTAAATCACACGGTAAGCATCAACCAAATTAAAGTCTTCTAAAATATTAGTCAAAACTTTCCGTGAACTATCCGAGTGTAATGGCCGATTTTTATCTAAAACCGATAAAACATTATTAAAATCTCCTAAAAGTATAACGTCCCTACTCACCGCTAAAAAATTCTTTAAAAAATAAAAATTCTCTTTCCTTTCCGTAACTCGAGGTGATGCATAAATTGTAATTATCCTCATAGGCCGACCACAGACCTGAAAATCAACAGCTACCATTCTACCATCTACATCAGTTTTAAAATCTTGGACCTTAATCCATTTCTTTAACATTATTACAACACCGGTGCTCCTTTGTCTTGAAAAAGATACATAAATATTATAGTCGACATATCTTCGACGCAGATCTCTTAAATCATCGAAATTCCAAATGTTCGTATGTTGTATGGCAAGTATATCAATTCTGTTTATCAATACCATATTTAATATAAATAGCTGTTTTCTCAAATTCCGAAAGCCAGTGATATTAATAGACCTAATATTTAGAGTGTTTCTATCCATTATTCAATTTTTTAGATTCTGTTGTTTTCTGCATACTCATTGTCCTAGATTTAAGTCTTCGACTAGCACGATCTCCTACCATACCACTACCATATTCGTTTATTTCCTCTTCTGACAAGAACTGCCCCTCAAATCCTGTAATCATCTTTTTAACATTCCCACCTTCCACTCTATCCATTTTTCTCTTTCCTAAATTCTTATCCTTTACCACAGTCTCCTGTTCTGTCACTGTCCACACCTCCATCTGCTTGACTTCCTCCTCAATCACTTCGACTACACCTTGCTCCCTCTCATTAACATCCTTATTTTTCTCAACACTTTTTTTACTCGTTTTTTCTAAACTCCTAGCTCTTCTCCTTTCCAAACTTTTCTTCCTAGGGCCTCTATTAATGATTTCAGCATACGATAGGGTTGGACAGTTTTCTGCGAGATTATGAATCTCTTTGCAATTATAACAAGCAGGACATTGACTTATTAGATGCCGATTACTACCACATCTAAAACACGTTTTTATTTTGCACTCGCGAATCTCGTGTTCAGTACTGCCGCATCTACGGCATTCTTTTTTAATTCCCACATAAAACAAGGGGACATCTTTGCCAAGAATTTTCACATAATTAGGGATCTTTTGCCTAGTTAACAAGACTACCCGATAGCTACCAGTCTTAACTTTTCGGTTATGATAATAATTAGTAACAACATTGATTACTTTACCAAATTTTCTCATTACAGATTTTATCAAGTCCTCATCTGCTTCGTTTGGCACCAATCTCAGCGTGACAGGAAATAAGTCTGACTCCATGCTTTCGATATCATATTGTTCATCCTCAATCTGGATAACTTTATCCACCAACTGCCGTTTTACCTCCACATTCGTTACGCCGATTTCCACCACTCCTCTAGGATGAAAACAGACCTGCTGGACGACTTCACTTCCATTAAACTTCTCCTGAATTGCATCGATGAGTACTTCCGCCGCAACTCGTTCTTTTAATTTGATCCTTACGGATCTAACTGACAAGTACTTTTTTATCTTTGTAGATTCCTCTTCCACTGCTGACATCGCCGTGGAATCTAATGCGGAAACATCCAAATCGTCCCACTCTGGCTGTCGACGGTCACCTAAGGCAGCCTCATCATGGACGAAGGAAGAACCACCCCCAACGCCTAGAGACCCCTTCGGCACCGGGGAACTGCTCACCGACGGACCGGGCACGTCCATCGTGCGGCACAAAAAAGCCGAACTAATCGGCAGTTAGTAGAACCAGTTAATATTATAAAAACAATAAAACTCACCAATACTTAAAAAAACTTTATAAAATTCAATAAAAGTCCAATATGAAATTCTTAAGGGAACAAAAACCAAACTTTACTCTCAGCCAAAAAAAGCCGAGAAGGAGCTCGACACACACCTGTTGCGTTATAGATTGTCGCAGAACCACGACAACTCTCAGCGCCAGGTTTTCTGTCGTTGCAGACCGGAAACTTTCTGAATTACGACAAGAATCACACCATGTGTTTTACCTTGCAAAATAAAACCTGTTATACCTTGTATATAGTAATTGCTGTCAAGGGGTCTTTTGGTGTGTGATTAAATTAGTTTAATTTATTCAGATCTATGTTCAGAAAATCACTTTATTAATGCAGAAACGTTTTTATTACAAAATATTCTTAGTTTTTCTTTAGTAAACTGCTCGTATTTACAAAATTAGATTACAAATTTCATTTAACTTAGAAGAAACTACGTGTTCAGTGCTAAGGTCAGAGTTCACTTCTTAGAATGACTGCGGGTGGTACTCTCTCCCTTACCGGGTGGAGTGAGGTGCCTGTTTCGTGTGTTCGTAGAAGAAAGTCCCCATTTTGGATTTTATTTTGACTCTGTTCTCGGTCCGCTGACTACAAATCTGTATTTCTTTTATTCTCAAATGATTTCAGTGCCAAATATCAATTCTCGACATTCACAGCTTCATATCTCTATGCTGGTAACATAAAATGGCAGTACGATTTTATAAACAAAACAGTCTTGTCAATGAATATGCAAAGAAGCTAAACATTTATTGTAACTATTTTTTTAAATACGGTAATTAGGTAAGTAACGTTTATTCATTCTGTAAATTTGAGTTGTATTTGTCTAAGAAACGTGTATTGTTTTCCAAGCCAAGTTAGCATTAATTGCAACCAGTGTCGCATTGAGAAAGCGTTAACTTGATGATAAATCATAACTTAAAGCTTGTCGAATGATGTATGATGCCCTTTTTTATAGCTTGCGCCCTACCCTTTTCAACAACTAGCGGAAGCCGCTGCCTGTAACAGATCTATTGTTGTATAAGTTATGTCTGTTCTAATCACAGATTAAAACACACAAAGTATTTGTTTTACTGACAATGTATAACTCTTTTTACTATCACTCATATAGTATAGTAAAGCATTAACTATTTTTAGTTACCATTGCTCTATCAAACATGGTACTAAAATAAATAATAGTTACAATCAGAGGCAAAGTCATAAATAAAAAAATATCTATATCGATACAAACAAATACAGAACATAAACAGATAAACAATGCTTAAAAAACATTAAAAGTAAATAATAGATAATATATCAATAATATATTTTATCGTTTAAAACCCGTTTTTCATTGTTAGATGAATAGAACATATATCAACAAATTAATATGAATTAAAGAGATAACACTAGTTGCTGTATCAGAATTCTGACGTAATACACTAACGAATGTCAGTACGTCACAGAGGGTATAAACGTCATATTATAAGACGAAGAAAAACTCAGCTACGCTATCACGTGTGGCTTTTGAGCTGATATGATGTCATCAAAGACTTCCTCCATAATCTGACGTTTAATATCTTAAAATATTACTGTAGATTATTTGAAATAAGACTTTATAGTAATCGTTTCTGATTAATTTTACGGTAAGACAAAGAATACGAATGCAAAAACGAAGAATAAAATGATTTTTTAAATTTACCTGTCTAACTTTATTTACGAAATTAAGATGTCTTATCTTAATTTCGTAAATATAAATTCCCACTTAATTTCGTAAATATAAATTCCCACTGTTGTCTGTCCGTCTTGGACAGACAACAGTGGGAATTTATAGGTCTACAATTTTTTTAAATTGCAGCCCAATAAATGCATTAACATCTTCCTGTTACGTTACGTTGAGTAAAGTGTGATATTTCACATTGAACGTAACTTCGATAAGATTGCAGGAAGTGACATTTTTTCAATGGCTATGTTTATAAGGAAATAATAACATTTATGAAGGAAGCAATTAGATTTAAAAATCAAAGTTATTAATTTTTAACCAACGAGCATTATTTCTGTTAAAAAAAACAATTTTTATTGACAAAAAATTTATAAATAGTACTATATGCATCGATATTAAGGTTTTTTGAACAATAGCGACAGTAGAAAAATAGGTTAGGTTAGGGTCAAATGCTGGTTGAGGATTAATTTTTAAATAATTTTAATAAAAGTAATAAAAACGAAAGAGAAATGTCCTTTTTTTTACTCTTTCCGCCCTACGAGCATAAAGAAAGCCACTTATGAAGCCCATTATGTGTTCGGCCGTTCTCACAGTAGGGTGACAGACGAATTACAAACTGAAAATTTCTTGGGGCTTTTTTAGTGTTTCGGGGTCATTTCACATTCCATTGTTGTATTTCTTATATTGTACCTCATAGAATTTAAATTTTACAATATCTGTCTGGCCTTCTTGCAGGTTAGTAGACGTCCACAAATAATTAATAGGACTTATTATACAGGTGACGTTTCTGATTAGCAAATACAGGAGATCTTGTCAAAAGTCGAAACAAAATGTCTTTATTTTCACTTGATTTTTAATAATATCGAGTGTCTGTCAAATTTTCCTGATAGAAACAGAAAAATTCGGCGTTGGTAATCTTATCAATTCTTTTCTACATGCTCTTAAATACCATAATTTTGCCTTGAATATGTTTTTTTCCTTTTTCTTTTGTTCAGCTGTGTGCATCGTTTACTTCACCAGAAGTTTTGCTGTAGATTATTTAAATTTAAATATTAAATCTTTACTATTAATCAAGTAAATATAACCATATTTTGTTTTGATTTTTATATAAGATCTTTCTTTGCTAATCAGAAACTTCAACAGTGTGAGGACCCGAACAGGGGTCGATTGAGAGGTCCGAATTATGGGNAAGTTTACTATAAATATTCTAACAATCATTAAACATACTGTATTTATAATCTTTTTTATTAAAGGTCTGGTTGGCAATAGAAATGACCATTATTTCGGTTACATTAATTCTTCCACCCATAATAAATTACGAATTAAACAAAAGAGAAATTTCACATCGCTGGACAATAAAGACAAGTTTCTGGTTTCTATTTTCTTCTTTTACTAATCAAGGTATGAATATTTTATGACACGTTTAAGCATTAATTTTAAGCACTACACTCATGTAATTATTTTTTCAGGATCTGACATAAGCTACATAAAGCGAATGTTTGCGAGAATTGCGATTGGAACTTGTTCAGTAACAATTTTAATATTAACATTTAGTTACAGCGGAACATTGACGTCTCACTTGACTGCCCCAGGTGAAGAGCCCGTGCCTAAAACATTCGCAGAATTAGTTGATTATGTAAAGAAAGGAAAATTCGCTTGTGGTATGACTGATTCCGCTGCTTTTTACGATCTAATAATGGTAAAATATTTTTTGTATTATTTATTTCTTAATATAATCTTGTAGATAAAATGTAAAATAAGGAATATAGTTTAGTAATGTGAAATTTCACCATTATAATTTTATAGAATTCTGATAAAGGATTTGTTAAAGAACTAAAAGATCATATGGTAGCCAACAACAACATTTTTAGTATAATAAATTTCGTACAACGTGCAAAGGAAGGCCGAATTGCAATTCTTTCATATAGTGGATTTGTAAAATCTTTTAGAAGTAGAGACGATGATAAATGGTTAATTTCTGAGGACTCGATGACATTTATACAATTTGGATACCCTATGAGAAAAGGATTTCCGTTAAAAAAACAGTTTGATTACATGTAAGCATAAATATCAATTTATTTAAAATTTTTTATTTATATAATTCATATAAATTTTTAATATAAAAATTTCAGTAACGAGTTGCTTAACTTTTCTTGCAACATTTAAAACAGCGTTTGTTTTACCATCTGTTAAGATATTCTTTTATTAATAATGTTAATATTTTTAAATTTAAAAAAAATGGTTAAAATTCTCCTTTTGAGAGTAGGGATGCTTTGTTGTAAAAAATTGTTGATACTGATAACGTGTAAAATCTTTATTTTTTCTGATTTTTTCTGAGATATGACACAAAACCGCCTTTTACTTTCTATTTTTTCGATCTTTAATCACCAAAATTAACAGCATTATTCTCTCTTACACACAAATTCCCTTGTAAAATTTTCGAGAAAAAGCATAGGACAGGGGTGGCGAACCTATGGCACGCGTGCCCAAAGTGGCACGTAAGAAGAAATCATCTGGCACGTAATGTATCATACAATTTCTGTCTTTTTAAATCATCTTTTCGGTTTATTACCTGATCATCCTTTTTTCAATCAGCTTTTTAACATTTATTCTAATTAAAGCGTATTCGTTTAATTTCTTTAAATATCGTTATTCGAAGTCTAAAACTTTGGCACGCATAAACATCTTTAAAGCTAAGTATGCTTACAATATGGCACGCGAACACAAAAAGGTGCGCCATCCCTGGCATAGGAGATGTGAAGCTACTTACAGTAGGAACAAATCATGCCACACACACTAACATCCAAACATTCAGAAATTACTCCTGAATGTTCAGCATTTCGCGATGTTTCAAGGTATCTTGAGTCCAAAAGTATAAAGTTTTGAACTGGTCATTTTTTGACTGATCGCCATATGTATAACAGAGCCAGAAAGTATAAATATTTAGTGAAGATCTTTGTGAATGTTCCTTCCCAACTCCGTCTCGTTGAGTTGGGTTCCTGTATATCACGACTCGATGTAGTGAATCAGGTTCGTCAGAAAGCACACCTCCACACTCAAATTGGATATATTTACAGTTTATTTACAGTTGTAGAGAGTACAAATTAGAAAACATATATGCACAAGATAATAACACGTGGTGACTTACGTACTGTACTGGGTTGGTTTCTGGGATCTATTAATTTAACCTTTGGAGAGGGTCGGTCAGCTTGTGGAGTTGGCTCAACTGCATGGTCGGTCCGGTCTCTGCACTAACCCGTCCCTGAGGCGATTAACGGAGGAGAACACTCTCTCTACGCTCAGCGGGTATCCCAAGTGTCGGAGACTACCTTGTATCAGTTTCTTGCCCTTCTCTCCTCCTCTCTTGTTCGGCCCGCAATTTAAGGGTTTTTGGACGGGGACTTCCGACCAATCACAACCCCTTTTTTTATGCCCGAACAGCTTACACTCGGGTTCGCCGTCATCCGACGCGAGTGGAGCTTACACAAACGTCCGCTACTTGTTTACGTTAGTTTGTTTACATATGGCAAATGTACTACCGTCTGACTGCAGGTGGGTCCAATTAACAAAGCCGGCGCTTCCTTTGTTTCCCCTTGTTTACAAGTCAACATTTTACAAGTAGTATATTGCCCGACAGCACGTGGGTCCAATTGGCAAGGTCGCGCCTCTTTTGTTCCCACTCTGCTAAAAGGTCAATACTTTACATATTTATTGTGTCAATTATATATCTGAATAATTAAAACACAGCTATGTGTACACTAAAAATACGTGTTTACCTTGACATATGTGATTTATATGTTCAGCTCTGTATTTGGTATTTATCATTTATTTACAATTATTACTTTTCAATACATAAATATAAATTGTTTGAATTCTAATTTTAGGATTTCTCGATTGTTTGAAACCGGATCAAGAAGTCCACGGTTGTCCAAAAAGGGATATATAAAAGCGAATGTAAAAAAAGAATTTGAAGCATTAAATTTAACAAACTTTTTAGGTGCTTTCTATCTTCTTGTGTCAGGATATTTGGTAGCAATTATCTTCTTTACTTTAGAAGTATTTATAGGCAAGAGGGCTAAAGCTGTGCCTGATCAAGATGATAACGATAAATTATCAGTCTGTTGCATTCGTATACATAAATAGATAAGTATAATCTTACAGCAGGCCCACCAGTGGCCAAACAGTTCATTCTGTTGAACACTGGGAGTTCGGTTGAGGGTTCACTCCTTGCTCGGACGGGCTGGCCACGTGGAGTTTTCCGGGTTTTCTTCATGTCTATAACGCCTAAATAGGGGCCAGTTTAAAAAGACCTCCCGGAAGGCATTTCCCAAATCAAACAAACATAATCCCACATTATTGCATTCAGTACAGTAGAAACAAGTAATTTTAAGAATAAATTTCATCTTTTTATTTCTGTCAACATGCCAATCAAATTTATATAGTTCATTTTAACTGTTAAATAAATATTATATAAATCTAGAAAATGATAGAAGAAAATTTAATCCACTGAAACACTTTTTATGTGTAAGTAGTTGTAAAAAAGTAGTAATATGTGTTTTGAAAAGACATTTTTGTATCGCAACTCTTGGACACCCATCCCTGTCATTATCTTCAAAGTGCAATGTTATATGGTTTAATATCATATGTACTCTGTGGTAAAATTAACATAGACTTGCCAAAATTTTCGCGAAAAATTTCTTATTTTTGCAACCACACTTTATCTTATCAACAACTTAACTGGCAATGTCACTGATTTGTCACGTTCAACTCTGTGTTCCATGAACAACGTCTGTTGTTATTTCTTACAAGTTCTGCTTGAGTTCTATAATCTAGTATATGTGAAATTATCAGGATACTCTTTTGAAATGTAACTAGAAATTACAATTTAATTGCACTTTTATCTGTATTATAAAAAAATATGCATACACATTTATATGTTATCTGAGATGGTTTGAATTAATGTTTTATTATACAGTAGAGCCTCGATTATCCGACCTAATTGGGGACTGGGGTTGGTCGGATAATTGAAAAGTCGGATAACCGAAAAGTATGAAAAAATCCATTATTAGTGTAGTATATTATTATATCCCATGTAATTAGTATATTAGTATATCGCTATTAACCTACTTTGCGTTGAATTTTCATCGATGTTAAGCCTAACAAAAATTTTTTAAAATAATAATCGTCGCTATTGTATCGTTAAAAATTAGAAAGTTAAGCTTCGTTTAAATACTGGCTCCCTTTCATGGTCGATCCAGTGTTGCCAGCTAAAACACGTAAAAATAATATTAAAGTAGCCAAAACATAGCCAAATATTGTAGCGCTACATCAATAGCGGACATTTGAAATTTGCCGACTAGGACGGTCGGTTAACCGAGGGGTCGGTTGATAGGGGGTCGGATAATCGAGGCTCTACTGTAGAATAATGAACAGAAATTTTTATTTATTTAATAATATTATTTATACAAAAATAAAATAAAATGTGGAAAGTTGGTGTGCTGTATTAGTTTTTGGTGTAAAAAAAATTTGAGTACACCATATTTGAAGTTATTTTGTTCAGTGAACATTCATCTTGTTTACATTTTGTCTACATTTAAAAATGTAAAAAAATGTTTTATCATATTATTATACTCACTGTCCTAGCTATTAATGTTATATTTATTGCAAATAACACTGTTGAAATTTTTCAATTGATGTATGGTTTACATTATGAAAATAAATATTTTGTATAAGTAGTAGTGATTCGATATACTTTGAAGTATATTTAATTTTAACTATAAGATGTTTAATATAGTTTTTCGAATTTATTTTCTTCAAAATTACTTACTTTTTTTCCTCCCGATCTTATTTAATTTTTTTATCATATCATGAAGAACGTTTACAAATATCACAAAGCAGACAATTATTTTAATCAATTTGTTTGTATTTTACAAGAAATATATATATATATTAGGGTAACTGCCAATAAATTCAATAATTGATAAAGGTAAAATTGATAACTGCCAATAAATTCAAAATAATCTAAATTACATTTTTTGAATGTTTTGAGAATTATATGCAAATCGTAACCTCAAAATTATGACAAAAATGTGTTCATAACGATTTCTTTTATTCAAGAAAATAAAATAAAAATGAATAACTGCATCTTTACCACATCATGGTAAAAAAATTCAACAACAGTGTTTTCTTTACTTGGTGTAAAAACTTTTAATATTGATAATTAGAGCATACTTTTACATGTTTTTTAAAAGAAGTTTTTACAAAGTTTTCGTATTCCACATTTATCTGACATTACTCAGTTAATGTTTCTAATTAAGAAGGTTTATTTTTGTCAGAGTTAAATCTAAGTCAAATTTAGTTTTTTAATCAGAATATTTAAAGTAAAAAATATAGTACTTTCTTTCACATGTTTTTCTTTAGTATAATTCTAGAAGAACAATGGCTGACTAAAAGGTTGTTAAAATCCGGAATATATTTATACTAATTTTATGGTTGAATACAGAGGAACGAATACAGAGTAACAAAGTTTTATAACACTCGAAAAATCAGAAAGAATATAGTAAATTAAAAAATATATATTTAATAATTTTAGACACAGATGGAATAATTCTTACTCTCGTTAACTTAATATGACTCTGGAAAACATAATTAGGTACTGTACCTGTACATGAGAAGTAGTAAAATTAAATACTTGTTTACATTAATAAAATAGACAGAAGTAAGCTATAACCAATATTTATTCTTATATCTAGTTTTTAATTGTCTAATACATGAGACAATTCACTTTGACGTCAATGCTTAATTAAGCAATGATTTCGATTTTTAATAATATGAAAACAAAAACGAAAATAATTTTTAGGTTTTATATAATAGAAAGTGTATGTATTATTATATAAATATTTTCGTTATATTGGGGTATAATGACGTTTCGCGATATAACGAGGGGCTAATATATTATTGTCATCTTGTTTTCACATTAATATTACATAAAGGTCCAAAAAATAGTCCAAAAAATCCAAAAATTAAATAATCTTAAGGGTTCATTTTTAAACGGTTTAATTAAATTCTGTCAAATAAATTTTGAGGGTGTGTGAGGACCCGAACAGGGGTCGATTGAGAGGTCCGAATTATGAGTTCGATCGAAAATAAAGAGCTCCTTTTCAGACGATAAGGAAATGGATTAGGTGTCTCGATTGAACAATGCAATTGTTTTTTTTTCGTAAATTTGTTAAACAATGGAAACGGTTAAATTCGAAGAAAACGCGACGAGAGAGAGGAATCATATTCAGTCGCAACGTTGACCTCTCCCACACCCTTCATTAGGTTTCGAATTGTCACCAGGTGACTATGAGAGACCAATGGAGAGGCGACGACGGTTAAGAAACCTATAAAACCGTGCGACTCAAGGGACAAAGGTTCTTGGTTCTTGGTGCTCCTCTCCAAGATTTTTGCGATCCTACTTATCCACAGCGACCGATTCGTCAACTCCTGGGACTTACTGTCGCTCTCCTGTGCCGTCATGATTTGCACGGATTATCCTTTCGCCAGAGACTTTCGACGAAGCTGTGCCGCACGCCCCGGTGCCGTCGATCTCAACGGACGACATCGAAGGACCTAACGGAGAAAGTCGGACTCTTGAAGGAACTTTTAAGTTGCTCCCCGAGCTGTGTTACGTTGAAAATTTGAAGAACGTTGTAAGAATCTTTTGTAATATAATAAACGGGTTAAGATGGCAAACTTGTCTCAGAAAGTCATTCTGCGCCCGCACGACAGAAAGAACCGCTCGGCTGTCGAACACCTCACCCCAAATCGGCTGACCTCACAGTGGTGTCAGAAATGGGATTATTGTGCCCAAGGTTACACTGGTGGGAAAAAGTAGTAATACTGTCCGCCAGGAATTCAAGGAAGCCGATACGAAATTGGGGGAGTGAGGAAGAAAGGTGCGTAAGAACATGGCCACTGAGACAGGCGCCCCATCTGCCCCATCGCAAACGCGGGAGGTAGGCGGTGGTTCAATCGCGGCGTTAGGGGGGATGATTCCCACTTTTAACGGTGAAAGCGTTAAAAGTGGGAATCATCCTCCGATGGCGTCACCGACTTTTTCGATACATTGGATGAAGTAGCTGGGCTAGCGGGATGGACAAAGCGACAAACTTTAAGCATTGCAAAATGTAAATTGGCAGGCGTTGCCAGAGATTTCGCATGGAGAGACATGCACATGAAAAGCGTCGGGGAATACGACGAGTTTAAGAGGTTAATGGTGGAGAGATTCGATCGCGTACCGTATTCGATGCGAGTGCAGAAATTCCACGCTTGCGTCCAGCGGCGCGAGGAAAATGTTCAGGAGTTTGCAGTCAGACTACAAACTCTAGCCAACGCCACGACGATCGAACACACGGGAACGACAGATCAGGAGCGCGCAATCATAAGACAATGTCAGCAACGGGAACTGGATGAAAAGCTTCGCGTGCAATTTTTATACGGGCTAAACGAGAAGCATAAACGGAACGTTATGGTACAAGACCCCGCTACGTTTTCAGAAGCGTTGAGGGTAGCGATAAGAGAGGAAACAATCGAACAACTGGCAGGGAAGAATAGGAATTTTGTTGCGAGCGTAGAGGAAAAGCAGGATAATCATGCAGCAAAAGGGGAGAACAAAAACATAGACCAGGATCCTGCGCTTGACGCGAAAATTAATCAAATTACGCGGCAACTTGAAAAGTTGGGAAAACAAATCGAGAATCAGTCCTCAAATGGACCGATAAGTAACCCACGAAAGCAGGGACGCACGCAATTTAGGCGAAACCCCAATCCTCCACAAGAACCAATTTCGAAAAAGGAAAAGTGCAGAATTATGCGAGCGGGCAGCGTCAACCGCCGCCCACGAATTTTAATAGACCGCCGAGGGAGCGATCGGCTATACAAACCCGCGACGGTATCATAATCAAGCGCCCTTTTGGCAATACCGCGGACCAAATCCTTTACCCAATAGACAAATAGACAGGGAAGGACCCTTGCCTTTCGTCCAGCCATATCAGCTATGGCCGGAATTTAATCAGTGCGATCCGTCTGTGTCAAAGAGACAGGCCCCGATAGCACCATTTTCGTATTTACAGTATATGGGTCGTGCACCTTTTTACCAG